GGGGGGGGGGGGGGGGGGGGGGGGGGGGGGGGGGGGGGGGTGACTCACAGCATCGACGAAGTAGAAGGCGAAACCCAGAAGCGCAGACACGATGTACGAGCCCACGACGCAGAGACCCTGCGAACCGACAAGCATGCCTCGGTTGTGTGGCGTTGCCAGCTCGGCAGTGTACGTCGGCGTGTTGGCGAAGCACATGGCCGCGCCGAAGCCTGAGATGGCGCGGCCAGCGAGGAACATGGCGATATTGTGAGAGCCAGCGGACAGAGCACTGGAGAAGATGAGGAGGATTGCGGCTACGCCATTGGCGGCACGGCGGCCATATCGGTTGGCAATGGGAGCTTGTATGATGACACCCAGGAGGGCACCGCCGAAGAAACTAGAGACCGAGTTAGTGTTGTTCAAGCAATTGGTGATGAGCTGATGTGGGTTGGGGCTTCAATTGATCGTTGCGGACAACCAATTGATGAGACTATGGGTAGAACAAGAAGCACTTACCCTCCGACCATGCCATTGGTGCGCTCAACGGCATCATCTGGTGTGGACAGGAACTTCGCCAAGAAGGTCGGCTGCGCCAAAGTTCCCGTCAGGATATTGGCAGCATATCCGTAAATGAAGCCACCAAGACCAGCGAGGGCAATAGTCTATGCAGGTTAGCACGATTGGCAGAAAAAGACGGCTCAGGGACAAGCGTACAGCATAGCTCGTGGCACTGGTGTGACCACGGCCGACAATAATCTCAGCAGCAGGTTCCTTGGCCATGGTGGTCAACGTGAGGAAACACTGGTCAATTGACGAGGGAGCGCCTGGTCGAAGGAAGGAGAGCACGTTCAGCGAATCTGGCGGGGAAGGCTATAAGATATCCGGCATGCCTGTCCAAAACCACGCGAGCAAAAGACGAGTCCTCGCCACACACACGTGGCTCTGAGACCCCTTACTCGCGGACGAGGAGGAACAAGCCGTTGATACAATAGTTCTTGCATATTGGTACTGCAATTGGGCGATGTTCATCATCTCTTTCGGCTAGAAGGTTGGCGAGCTGCAGATGTAGCCCCCACACTATCACGGATTTGCACTCCCCGATTTGGCGGTAAGCACCGCGTGGTTCTTGCCTGATTGCCTGGAGGACGCGACCATCTTCAAGCGCGGCTCCGGCTCATGAAGAAAAAGGTGACGGGGCCAGGGGGCGGCAGTGTCGTTGCAGTAGGACGATGCCTAAGCGCTGCATGTACAAGGGTGGAGCTGGCGGTTTGATACGCCGGCTTGGCAGGATTTCACTATTCTCCCCATTGCGATGCCATAAGAGGCGTAAACGGGTGGGGATCCGGGTTTCATATACAGGCATCCCGTGCCGATCCCAAGCGGGCGGATTAGCCACCCCATGTCCCCTGCTCCACACCGTGGCCAGAACCTCAGCTCTGCCGAGCGGCGCAGTCGAACGCTCTGATCTTTACCACTTTGTGCCGCACTTCTCATGCGTGGTTATTCCTTTCAGTCTTCGATGCGCATTGCTTTTGTTCGGCGGTGAAGACTTTGCTGACTCGGCCGGCGACGTCTCCGCCATCTGCTCCCGGCCACGACTTCTTCATCACGCCGTTCACAAGTTTGACCACGAGTCCAGCAATTCATGTCAGCAAGCTCATCCCGGTTGGGCGCCGAGAAATGCTTGACACCTTTGCGGCGTACGAGCTGCTCCACACAAGAGGCGACGAATCATGTCATCGTCCGACGATTCTCGGCCTTATACTTATTAGGACTCGGCAGGATCTATAGCGCACGCTCTTGTGCACAACGATGATCCCTAACTCGACGATTCAATCCTACATTTCTTTTTCGGCTTTCGGGAGGGTGCTTGGCGACTCATGCTCTAGGATAAGGGGCTCCTTCTACACACCTTATCCACTGCTCTTGCACCCCTTCCGGCTCGAGCGACGCTAGTCCTCGCACTGGAGCCCGAATCCTGCGGCCAGGTCCGCTTCGGGCCCGGTACCAGCAACTTGGTGGAATGCAGGGAGTTTGTCGCCGTGCATCAGATCCCTTTGCCGCGTCGCACCTTCTGGTTCTTCCAGCAATTAGCAAGATTGCTCGCTATTCAGGTTTAGTGGGACGCCGTACATACGTATGTACTGTCGCTAACCGATGTCAAACACGTGGGACCGTTTGAATGCCGAGCGGGCCGAGCTGGTCCGCATCGAGCAAAGTATCGCGAAGTCGCACCTACAAGACAAGAGTCAGTCGTTGCACGATAGTTTTGTAAGCGAGCGGTGATCGCAACGGCGATCGACGCACTGCGCTGTTCGTGATGATTCGGGAAAATTCACAGTCGCAATAGGGAGCTGTTGATCTCTTGTAGAGGCAATACCTGACTCAGAACGCGAGCGAGGCCACGCGAAAGATCGTCAACGCTGACCTGATCCTGCTGGTCGATGCGAGAATAACAGCGCACACAATTCACCGCGATTCTGGCATTACCGTGCTTCAGAGACCCACGCAGTAAAACACTGCTGCTGCCCATCGATCTCATGCACAATATCGTATGAGACGAGCCACGGGTGTTGTATCAATGCACTCGCCATGACTCGAGATGATGTGAGACGCCACATGAAATAGGATGTGTTCGATTGGTTTTAAGTTATAAGACTGAGAGCTGTTGCTGGGTATACAAAACTGCAAGTGTAAAAAAAAAAAAAACAAAAGAAAATGTCGTGATTTTGGGCGCCACCGGAAAGACACCTCATATCAAGACCAAGACCGAGAAACCCCCTCCCAATTAGTACTACCTTGCGTGCGCTGAATAGGCGTTGTGCTGCACATTTATGCTCGTATCAGAAACATCATCGTATGTGACGGTGACCTCCTGAACGCGCTGGATCGCCTCGTTGCTCCCCTTTCCGTTGCCCAGGATACTCCTGTCACTGTCGGCGTCGGTGTGCAATGAGGCCTTTCCGGCTTGCGACGTATAAGTGGGGTCCATGGGCTTCTTGGCCGCTCCGGGCATGTAGTCGAGGTTGATGGCGCCATTCTCCGATCTCGATGCAAATCCACTCTTGGACTGCGATTGCTTGTGGTAGTTGCCGTATCCGGACGAGCTCTGGCCGGTGACACGTTTCCAGAGCGGACGCAGGGCGGGCAAAGTGACGCAAACGATTGTCAAAGTCAATTCAGAGAAGGTCCAGCATACGCTATCAGAGCAGGCGTCTGGGTAAACGGTTAGTGTGCGTTGCAAAAACTTATCGGTGAAGCCAAACTCACAGAGATAATCGGCCGAGTTCGACAAGGCATTCAGCGTAGTGATACGGACGACACCACAGATTCCAGCAATCACACCAAGGGACAGGGAGATGCAAATGGTGATTTTCTCCTTCTTCCTCATGTTGAGCTGCCAGAGGACCATCCATGGGAAGAGGGCGAGGAAGAAATCCATGGCGGCCGACCAGACGCAGGTCACGGTTGCAATAACGGTGAGGTTCATGTGGTACGTTCCCTTGACGGCCGGGTTCCAAAGGGCTTCGACGGGCGTGACTTGGGCAAATACGGAAACGGCGAGCAGAATGCTGATTCCCATCATGGAGATGATCCAGAACCAGAGAATAATGTAATGCCTTTTCCATCAGGTTAGCGAGATGGTGGATTGGGGGTGATGGATTTCATACCAGGTCTTGTTAAGGATGCGGATCAAGAAGACGGCGACTGCAGCCTTGCTCGTTCCCATGGCTGTCGCAATAGTGGATTGGCCGATGAGGAAGGCCTTCATTCCGATCGAGAACTCGGTAATTGGCTGGATGTCTGCCATGTGGATGCCGAGTCCATGTTGCGTAGCAATAGTACATATTATGGAGAAAGCAAACATCAAAAGCTGCAGAAAACGTCAGTCGCAAGGCGTAATATGGCGGGGGAAAAGCAAGACGCACCCAAGTGAGAACCAGCAACCAGTCGTCCCAGCCGACCTGTCCTCCGATCTTGCTTCTTGTCCAGTAGCGCAAGGAAATGACAGTTGCGGCGAGAAACGTCTCGAGCCACAAGACTGCGAGGATTTGAGGGCCCTTCTGCTGGATGGGAAGCGTCATGGCGTCAGTGGGGTAGGGTTCACGTCACTCCGAATCCCTCGATGCCGGCGCTGACGGGGAGGGGTGTCGGAATATATTCAAAGGTTGCGTCTTCCCCGGGCAGCATATGATACTTAATCTGAGGCGGACGCTCCGAGAGCTTGGCCATGGCCCGGGGAAGAGGTAACCGTGCATGTCAAGCCCAGCCGCCGGGACGCACACTGCATCTCAGCTAGGTATACCCCAGGCGCAAGACTTTTTCGCAGTCGTCGATCTTCCCTTAAGGAACCCCCTGGATCGGCTGCTTCCACTTTCCGGTTAGTAGGGACTTAAAGGTCGCAAGTATAACTATTTTCAGATCGGCCGTATCTTAGTAGCGGGCGTATGAGGCGTTGGGCCGGACCAGAGGGCGAGGGGAGATGAGTACGGGAGGGCCGATTCCCTCGACAACGCTTCCTTTCTCAAGCCATGGTAGGCAGTCCTTGCAACAGGTTTGATGAAAGGCCCCCATAGCCACGACGGCGTCGCACGCGCAATCGAGAAGTGACTCCGGCGGGCAGCATCGCGCTCGCCTCACGGCTTTTCCTCTCCCGACCACGGCGACGAGTAATGGCAGCAGAGAGCAGCGAGCCAGGGCCCTGAAACCTCGCTTGGCTGCAGGTCCGGCGTTTTCAACGGCATACCAGCCGCTCATTGCGGGAACGGCGTTCGCGCACAGTGTTGTCTGTGCAGAGGCGGCGGCAGCGGGAGGCGGGCGAGTGGGGCAAATGGTTGCCTTGCCGCTGCCGCTAAGCCCCAGTGAGCGGCGGCAACGACATCGTACGCGCACGTTCCGCGCAAGTGCGGCTGTCAAGGAGAAGATCGGCGGCAACCATGGATGAGTAATGAGACGGCCCCACTCGGTTGATGTTGCACCGGCGAGTCGTGGCTTCTCTACAGGGGAATCCGGTCCGAGCGCCTGCAAAGGAAGGACCTAAGTCACCGCCTCGCAACGGGGCTACGCACCGCGGAATCGGGTGTGGTCGCAGGCCGCTAGCCGTCCCTAGCAATGGGGTGGCGTGGCTGGAGATCGGATGGGGGCAATGAGGACGCGTAAATCACTTCCAAGAGATCGCCGTGGGATTGTTCTAGCTCAAAGTTCCTGTTCCTGACAGCCGCGGCCCGATACCACCTGTCAACTGTCACTTGTAAGCATGTGGACCCTGGCAATTTCCTCGCCAGTGGTCCGCCGGGAGATTTTCTGGTGGCGCGCCCCGTAAGAAGTTTAATGACTGCACGCTCGCTAAGTGTATAGCGACTGCGATTATGCATTGTCTCGCTAGTGCCAAGTACGGAGTTGGTCAGGATCTCCTGACAACTACTCCACCATCGCCGCACAGTCTCGACGAGACCTGCCATGTCCATTTCTCTCTTCTGGAATAGCACATCAATATTGTAAGTAGCGTGCGAAGATCGGGGCCGTATTGCACAGCTTGCAGATGACTCCGTCAGAAAATTCACGCAAAAATGAATTAATAATTCATTGGTTTTGGTCCTGTCCTCGAATTCGGCCGGACAGGGAATACTCGGCGCGAACGCACATCATCCAGCTGCTGGGTCAGCCGAATCCTCCTGCATGTAAGCCGACCGTTGAGGGCAACGTGGGATTGTGAGAGACATGCAGCCCGCCGGGGCCTCCTGTGCCGTCCAGGAGGATCAAGGGCCAACGCGTCCCGACCGCCAGAGGGGCGCGCGGCTCTTGTTGCGGGATACAACCCAACTCGTCGAGCGTGTGCCGTGGCTGAAAAGGGAAAAAGAAAAAAAAAACGAGCGGTTTGTCTCAACAACACCACTCGCGAACGTGCTGTTGCTCTTTGCTCGTCTCGACCTCAGCCGCCACTGTCACATTCGTTGATCGCCCGCCTCAGTGGTCAGGCTCGTGCGCATGACCCCGCGTCCAAGTGACTGACTTGTGACTGCAGGTGCAGCCCCTTGCTGTGACCGAACTTCAGTGTGGACATCGCAGATCGGGCAATAGGGGCGGTTGGCTTTATCTCGGGGATCGAGCGCCAAATTGCTATCGTTGCATGGAAACGTAACTTCATGCTTGCCGTCGGCTGTACGAGCAGACTATAGTTTACGAGACCATCTACACAATCATGGCCAAGACTTATGCATCCAACATCAACTTGTGCTCTGCATGGGTTGTGTAAGACACGTGCATGAAGTGTATACAGTGTTGATCAGAACTGAAGCCCGAGACATACCCCACGGGAGGCCTCAGCCGGGGCCCGCGCTCAACATCCTGATACCTTGACGCATGTGTGGGCAAAGCCGTTTCGGTACTCTATTGCAGTATTTATGTATGTATATGTATATATTGGGTCCTTGTGAACCGGCTGTTTGCTGTTGCTCTGAATTAGCATTGAGCCAGATCTAATGTAAGCGCACCAGCAAGAATGAAAAACAAGATCAACTCTACTGAATCAAGTATTGTTTCATGAGAGAATGCAAGTCATGCTCAATGTGGGGTTGCAGACAGGTCAAAGGCTGGCCCGAATGTCGCTCAATAGCAGAAGGTAAAAGCGAGTCACTGCGCCCTACAAAAACTTCAACCATTCCTTCAACCCGCCACCGACAATCCTCGAAGTCTCCGAGTCCGATTCCATCCGCCATTTCGATTATAACGTCCGAATCGCCATCCATCGCCCAAAATCTTAGTCTTATATCTGGCTCAAACTATTTGGTAGACTTACATCCTTGCTCGATTGTGGACTGATCACCGAGCCGCCACGCTTTATTTCGGCATTTCGTACTGCAGCGGTAGTTGTACTACGCTCTGCCCTTGCGCATGGCGTGATCATTCTGCTTTCGTAGCTTTACTTGCGCGGTCTGGATCGAAATCCTAGCAGCGTTGCGTAAGACGAAGATCACGTCACCGAATTTCCGAGAATGCCGGACGAGAGCATGGTGTCTGGAATCCGGGTGCCGATGTTTGGATCACAAGCCTTCAGCCTCAACGCGGCCCTACGAGCTGGCGCTGGGGGGAGCTGAGCCCTGATGCGGTCGCGTTTCCCGAAGCCGAAGGAGTGCCTGTGTAACAACCCAGGTCGACGGCGGTCTCCGCGAAAACCCTGTGCGACAAACCACCTTCCAAGCACTCTTGTACTTTGCTTTATTCAGGTTCGTGAAAGCTTGTGAGGCTGTAGCGGATCTGCCTGATCAACGCTTTTAAGCAGATTAGCGAGAGATTAACTTCAAGGCCCTGCATACAACTATAGAGGAACACGCAATGCATCCTCTGTAACTTGGGGTCTGAAAATCCTAACGGCAAACCAGATCTTTACCGAGTCAAAAGGCCGGAGCCGCATGTCCAATCCGAATTTTCGTCTGACGTCAGACAAAGATAAGAAAAGTGACCCTGACAGCGTGTGGCTCGTTTTTGGGCAGGGATTATCCGCCAGTGAGAGAATTTGGAGCGTGCATAAGGAGCGAAGAGACCCTCAAAAACAGGTTGCTTTTGCTCGGGGATGCGGCTCTAACACGAAAACATACATCAAGCAACGCCACCCAAGACTAGATGTCTCTGTACAGATATCTTCACGAGAACTGACATGCTCGAACCCGTAAAACTAGCCTATTTTCGGATTACATGCGGCTCGGCTGCTACTATAGCACAGTAGGGTTGGAAGTGGCCAGCGCATCGGGCGCGCGGTGAGGCTTAGTAACTCGAGGGCCTACGTGGTACACAGCCTTGCCGTTTTCGGGGACCTCCGCAAGGCAACTGTCGCTCAAAGAAGGCAGCTGCTTGAGCTCGACACCTACAAGCCTCAGTGGTACAAGGCCAGCCAAAGACGTGCTAAGCCGAGCGCAACTAATGGGCTCTGATTGGCTGGTCGAGAACTTCCAGCGGGAGGCGTTCATGCTCCGTACATCTGACCTACTCGTAAAAGACTGCTCGAGCTTGCCACGGAATGGTTGTGTGGTTGCCCTAAGGATTGTGATTGAACGGCCGCGGTGCCTGCGGAAACTTAGCCGCAATCGGTGTCTTACTCATAACCCCACGTCGAGAGGCTATGGCATGCATTAGCTCCAAAGGTGTAACGTAGCTAGGGAAGTGGAGTATATGGTTGCTACCGCGTCCTGATTGCTCCCAGAACCCATCCTGCCTCAAACATGAATTCAGTACAGATCCCCTACACACAATCTCCCAAGACACGTCGGAAATGGACCGAAGAGGAAGATCAAGTACTTTTGAAGGAAGTGGACTTGCAGAGTAAGTCAACTCATACATTATAAGAGTAGCAAAATAATTACCAACACTGCGCGTAGAGCAGCAGGGAACTCCTGCGGACTGGAAGGCAATAGCCCGGAAACTACCCGGCCGCTCCAACAAAGACTGTCGAAAGCGATGGAACAAGATCCGAGCATGCATTGCTAAAGGTCCATGGAGCTTTTCTGAAGACGAGAGTTTGAAAGAAGCAGTCAGGGTGCACGGACTCAAGTATGTTTTTTCTTCTCTTACACGGAATTCATCTTTACTGATGATGCCACCCCAGATGGATCGAAGTGTCACGTATAGTCAAAACACGCAACTCGGACCAGTGTGCGAAAAGGTGGCGCTACGCACTCGACCCATCCATCGACAGGAGCGTTTGGCGGCCACAAGAGGATGAAGCCTTAGTGACTGGGGTAGGGCAATACGGCAAAGCTTGGAAGACTATATCTGAAATTTTCCTGCCGACCAGATCAACAACGGATATCAAAAACAGGTATGACACAATAAGTCGACTGGGAGACCCTTTCTGACTCGAGCAGATACGTTACAATCATGCGCTACAGACGAAAATTCCAAAGGCCATCACAGATGGCCGACCTGGAATCGAATGACGGCCTGGACTTTCTGGAACTTGCTGACGGATTGAGCACATCACCTTCATTCTCAGATATCTCTGGCCTTGACCACGAGAGCCTCTTACAAACAAATGAGGTTTTTAGCATGGTTAATGCTGATTCATGGTTTGTTAACTCCATGAATACACGAGGAGACGATATTCAAAACCTCGATTTTCTCAGGATTATGCGGGACGATGCAAGTCAGAACACTTTTTGGCCCACGGGAAGCACCTCAGACATGACCATGATCCCTCCATGGGGCGCTCAGGCACATCAACCCAGTGCTATAGAACCCTTTGATTGGCTTACAGGGATGGATCCATGGACCAGAAGTTTCGAAGAAAGTGGCGAATTTGCACAAGGGGATCCATTTCAGTCTCATGGTCACTTCAGAGGGACTGATCAATCATCTGTCATGTCTGATGCTCAATTTGGATGGCAGTTTAGGCCGCAAGGATTCGCGAACTATTGCTGAGTACAGTCATTACATCGGTCCGAGAGGAATAAAAACAAAAATTGGAAAGCCAAATTGAAACAAAGATCACCAGTGCTGACAAGGTGTCCTTGAGTTTCGGGGGGAAAAAGAATAAATACATACGGGAAATAGCTAAATGTAGACATAACATTTGAAAATAGAGCTGGACGAGCTATCTATCTACGTTTGATGTAGATTCATATTCAAAGAGCAATGTAAGTTCGGAAAGTCTCCCGGGTTACCGTATCATGTGTCGCCAATTAATCAATGTACCGCTAGGTCGCCTTTTCTCAATCAGTCTTGCAACTTGAGTACATTTAAACCCCCAAATTAAATGTTCAAATATTGGCTATCACGGTTTCTCGTTCAGAATGTCTACAAATTCCCAAGTCCCCAGGAAATGTGGAAAGAGTTGAAATGCACGTGATGCGCCGTCCGCTGCGGCTATTTATAGCGCAGAGCCGTCCTGTCGCCGCGTTTCGCGCGTTGAGACAGTCCCTGTCAGCCTCTCACCCTCCCTTTTTTCGCCTTCACAGGTTGTCCCGCTCTCAAGACACCAACGCTTTCGCAACCGATTCGAGCGCGTTCTCGGGAGAAGTACAGCATGCCAGCCGCAGGTATGGTCGGTGGCAAGGCGAAGCGTAAAACGCACCAGAAGTCGCGTATGGGGTGTGCATTTTGCAAAAGGCGGAGAATCAAGGTAGGTGTGACGTTTGATGGCTCACCATGGCCCATCTCGCTTTTCGTCTTGGCACATGTCTAGTTGCTCTGCATTCAGCCGCACGCTTGTAGCAAAGATATGGATTAGCTGATTGTTTTCGAGTGTGACGAAAGAGAACCCGCATGCACTAATTGCATGAGACGCAATATCTCTTGCGAGTACAAGAACAAGGCTATTGGCCAATTACGGAGAGACACATCCGCAGCTGCGGGGGACGATCATGCACTTGAGCCGCATGGTCAACAATTGCCGTCCCCCTCACCATCTACTTTGGCGGGGCCGGGCCGGTCTGAGGCTCCAGTTGCCCTAGAGACACCCTGTTCTCCAAAAGTCTCCGACATCCAGCCCTCTACGGCTAGCATACAATCTGATTCACCTGCATTGAATCTTACCGATCTGGAGCTTTTGCATGCTTGGCAAAATTCCACCGCACCGTCCATCTCGACTTTCGTTTCAAGGATAGCCTCGGTGCTCACCTTCTGGCGGGTGAGCGTTCCAGAAATCGGGTTTTCCCACCCATTCGTGCTACACGCTATTCTCGCTCTATCCGCAATACATCTTTCGCGCTTCAAGCGCGGCCGCGAGCAGTTTTACAAACTCGAGTCCGAACGCCACTGGAACCAAGGGTTTGCCATGACCACATCCCAGATTCCCCAAGTCAATGACGACAGCTACCACGCATTCTTCATTTTTTCCATGATGTCCTGCATGTACAAGCTGGCCAAAGGGCCCACTCCCGGCGACTATCTGGCCTTCAGCGAGCCGGGCCACGACCCTCCCGAGTGGATCATATACTACAAAGGCTATCATTCATTTATGATCCTGGGAATCGATGCAATGCGCCACGGGCCTCTTGCAGAGCTGATCGAGACCGCCAGCCTCAAAACCCGCCGCTTCTTCGCCCAATCAGCGGAGCTTGCCGATCCCGACCCTATTGCTGACCTGCGTAGGCTCTGCGATGAGGCGCTCGGTAGCACAGGAGGTGGAGCACAGCATGCTCCCTACAACGCGGCCATCGATAACCTCGCTCGTTGTTTCACAATCATGTTTAGCGGCGAGCACGACGGCGAGTTCAACCTCATCATCTGGGCCCTGAACATCCCGCAAGACTTCATTCCTTGCATCCAGCAACGCGAGCCGATGGCATTGGTCATTTTTGCGTACTTTGTAGCACTATTGAACGAGCTTTCGGCGTGGTGGGTGCTGGATGGTTGGGTGAACCATCTCATGTCTGGCATCTGGAATGCATTGTCAGCCGGGAGGAGAAACTGTATTCGCTGGCCAATGGAGCGGACGGGATGGCTTCCTCCGTGAGAACAGGATAGCAGCACTATCGAGAAATCAAGAATTATGCACAACCAGCGGCGACATTTCTGGACTGACATCGCGAGACCAAAACGACGGCACGGACGGATTCTGTTTCCCGAGAGAAATTTTGCTTTTTCGAGTTGACAAGAGATGTTGCTCGAAAATTTTGTCGCGTGGAGGAAGCGGGCCCGTTTTAAGGGGATTGTATGGTGGAAGAAGTTCCGCTGCGCGCCGTACGCTTTCCGCGTTGCGCCTTACGCCTTACGCTTTACGCCTTCCGCGCTGCGTTTTACGCCCAGCCCGCCCCCACAGCTATACGCTTTACGCCGTTTCGCATTCAATCAACGTCTATGAAGTCCTTCATTCGCCGCCACAGTGCTCGTATCTCATCCTTCGAACGCGATGATTATCAATGGATCCTGATGGAGGGGTAGAGAAAAGCCTACATAAACGGTGCTTTGCGTCTTGACTTGGGACCGTTTCTCTTGCCTCATCCTTCACCTTTTGATACCCGATTCCTCACACTCGTTTGACATTTTTTTCACCCAAACCTGTCGGTCTGACGATTTCTATCACATCTTGGTCCTGATAGCACACAATAAAGTACACCTTTTTCTGGAACCTTTGGCGTCCGAATCGAAGTTGCCTTGGAACATTGATGAGTTGTGAGTCCTTCTTGTTTCTTAAAACACCTGGTCCACGATACTGACGCCGAGCATAGACCTCACGATCACTATGATGGAAACCTTCGCGCAAATTGTCATCTTCTTCCTCGTATTCGTCGTTGGCATGGGAATTATTTTGGGGGTAATTCATTTTTGCAAAACTCTTCGGAAGGACAAACAAGTGAGCCGAGTGTGAAGGACTGTTCCTAGCGGCAGACGGCAGGAAAGCAGCCACTATTCTGGAGACAGGGCCTATTGGGGTATGCTCGCGATTACTGAGCTTTTCCGGAGCATCATTATCCAGCAAGGAGGAGGCCCTTTCATTCCCACGCACAAGAAAATTGCGTGAAGGCAGATACGACATGATTGATCTACGTTCTGTCAAATCAAGCGGAACATAGAGTGGCCGTGGGGTAACATCTCATCATTGCTTGGTCCTCTCCCTCTATTCTCTAAGAAAAGAAAATCGTAAACCGAAATCATCGCATTATTTCCCCTCCACAACATCCACCTGGAAACTTCAGTGACCCTGCTCACCCGCACCAGAAAGCGATGTATCACTCGCAAGCGACTGATGTTGCTTCTCCACCACCCTTGCGCCCTCCGGCACCCATGGCTCCGCATCGCCGAGCCTATCAGCAGTCAAGCCGGCGCTCCCCGGGTTCTTCATGCCAGCCTCCAGCTGTCTCTGGTACGAGACGTTCCTCAGTCTTTCGTGCTCGCGCGGCGTGAGTCGGAGCTGCCCGTCACAGAATCACAAACGTCAGTACATCTTTCTACATGTCGCCTCTCTCGCATCCAGAAATGGCGAGGGGAAAAAGATCAACTCACATAAACCTCCACCCCAATTGCATGCACCGTCAATGCAACGAACAACGACATCCCAAACCCAACACTCAACGCCGCGCCGATGCTCGCCGCACCGCCAGGACCGCCTCCCATATCGGCGCGGACGAGCGCGAAGCGGCCCGGGTCCTGGCCGGAGACGTAGTCGGCGCAGTCGGGGAAGGCGTCAAGCAGGTCTTGGGTCGAGTTGTCGAAAGTGTAGAGAAGCTTCGCGCACGGCTCAGCCATGAAGTAGTTGCGACTGGCGGTGGCGACGGTTGCAGCGGTGATCTGGACGAGGCGGGTTGTGATGATGGCGCCGAGCTGTTTTCAAAAAGTTAGCAAACACGCTTTCGTGAAAAGTCTGGTGGGGGAAAGGGGCAGAGCATCGTACATAAAACCACGCCCGCAGCATCCACGCCCTGTGCTGCTCTATCTGCAACCTTTTGATGTTCACGAACGCCAGAACTAGCGAGCCTGTCGTGAGGATGGCCAGCATGCCTACCGCAGCCTGCACGTCCATCCCGCCGCCGAATGCGTGGCGCGCTATCATCAGCGCGCCTGCGTTGGCAACCAACACCAGCAGGATGATGATGTATCCGTTGATGCGGTGGAACAGGATGATCTTGTGCCGGATGGCCGGCACGAACTGCAGTGTTGCGAGGAACGCGGCGGGCAAGATGCCCCCCAGGTGCAGTGTGATGCCAATTCGGTAGAAGTTCTGGACGTAGTAATAGCATTCACCTGGAGAGGCGCCGTTGGCTCCGCCGGAGCAGAAGACGCCACTGAAGTCGAGGTATTGGAAACGAGCGAGGGTAAATCCGAGAAGGGCGCCTGCGGAGGAATGGGGGTTAGCAGGATTTCCAGATATGGAGAAGGGAGACCAAGACAGAAAACAGGAAGAGAAAGGCTAACCGTTGAAGATGAAGAATAGAATGAAGTTGTAGGCTTTGCTGAAGCCGAGAGGATTATAGATACGACGAGCAAGGGCGTTGAATCGGTTGCTCGGGGGCCGAGTAGGTTGAACCATGGCTGTGGGAGGAATATATTGAAAGTGAAAGGGGAGGGTTATATGGAAAAACGCCGAAAAGTGGAAAAGACGCTGGTGATAGTTTCTACAATGCAACCGAAGAGTTGAGATGTGATGCAATGGATATATCGACCCTATGGTAAGGGTAGCTTTATAGAGATATAGACATGATGGGCGCGCATTGCTTCTGAATTCATCCAAGCCCAGAGAAGTATTTTTGGAGTGGGAATCTGACAGTTCGGAGTGATCGTGCGTTTATCGTGCGTTACGCAAGGCATCATTTTTGGCGCCAAGGTGGAGCTCTTGAAGGCCAAGAAAGCAGGCGGTGATATGTAGGCTGTGGTTGAAGATAGAAGGGAGAGAATGGTGGGGGCCGGCGGCGCGCAATGATTCCCGTTTTCGCCTAGCTTCAACACGTGGATAAGCACCACAGCCTGTGCTTGTCGTCATCGACTTTTGAGGCGCAGCGCCAGGGTCTTGCTGCCTATAACTGATTGTTAATACAAGACGCTCTGTTTGTGCAGACACTACGGGAACGAAGCCAACAGCTAGTCGCATTGGAGAGCGTGGGGAAAAGAGTTTACCAAGTGGAGGCTGAAGGAACGAATACGGACGAAGGATCGGTCTCAAAAGCGGGGTGACAAGTCGATGAACGCAGAAAAACCACATTCCCCCGTCGCTCTTTCCTAAAAAAGACGCAATCTGCGCGACACAAGATGGTCGGCGTACCTGGGAGATCCAAAGGCTGTGCGACGTGCAGGCGGCGGAAGAAGGGTGTCGGTACCTGCTCATCCCCCGCAACGCGCAAAGCTAACGCGATCCGGCAGTGTGACCTCCAACGGCCGGCGTGCGGGCAGTGCCTGAAGTCCGGCTTGGAGTGCGGCGGCTACGACAGGCAGCGAATCTTCATCAACCACACCAGCACCGCCCAGTCATGCGCCCTAACCACTGTTGCACCTCCGACGCGTCGCATCCCTGTTGAATCCTCCGAGCGCGCAGCGAAGCCACTTGAGATCGTCCTGCCTGATGCGCTCACCCGCACCGCCTACGAGCTGAAGTCACTCGGTATGTTTTGGGAGGCTTACCTGCCACAAGGCGTGCCTTTCACTTCTGCAAACGCTCAGTTTACCACTGGCTCCTGGCTTGGTATCATCGACTCCATTTTCCACCGCGAAGACTGTCTCAAGCATGCGCTGCTGGCCATGAGCCTGGCCACTGTCGGTCGCCAACGGGGTGATCCCTGGATGGTGAACCAGGGTTACGCATCTCACGGCAAATCTTTGAGAGAGATGGCCTACGCTCTACAGTCGCCCGAAAGAGTGAAAAAGGACGAGCTCGTCGCCGCTTCCAAACTCATGGGACTATTTGAGGTATGTCTTCCCCTCGCGGCACCGACAGACGAAAACCTAATATTTGTAGATCCTCTTTGGAGCCGACGATAGAGACGATGCCGCCCAAGCGCGCAGTTGGAGTAGCCACATCAAGGGTGAATTGGTGCTCATCCAGGCAAGAGGCCCGCACGCACACATGCATGGCCAAGCCCATCAGCTCTTTGTCGACGGGCGCTTCTCTATGGTGAGTAGAGATATCAAGAATTTTATGAGCACAATACTCACTGTTGCAGATGATCCAAGCCGCAAGATCAAGAAAGAAGAGTGTATTCAGTGAGCCGCAATGGAAAGAAATACCCTGGCAGGTCATCCCGAAAACCCCCAAGGACGCTCTTCTTGACATCATGGTCGATCTTCCAACACTTATGGAGAAATTGGATAACTTTGTCGAAGGCGAGCACGAAGAGGGCGTGACGAAGGTTCTCCGGGAAGCACTCATGCAAGAATGCTGGGACGCCGACAGACGCCTCCTGGAATGGGTCAGGACCATGAAGTTCTTCGTCGACGTGGACAAGGTCGCCCATGTAGAACAGGTGGGAAACTTCGCTGTCGCACAGCTGATATACTTCTACTGGGCCGCTTGCATCATGCTGTTCAGCATCCTCCAATCTGCGAATATGACGTCGGCTCAGCCGGATGCTCTCCCGCCTCGGACCGACCCGCGCGTCTATGCTCGAAAGATCGCCCATTCGGCCTCTTACTTTTTTGAGCCCGACGCGGGCCTGTTCGGCGCCCATGTGGCGTCTTTCAGTATAGGCATGGCCTTGACCGTCCTCCGCAGAACGGGCACGAGTCCCCAGGACAAGGAAGACCACGAACTGCTTACCCGCGTCCTCGATATCCCTGGAGTCAACGCCACCATCGGCAAGTTCCTCTACAGCATGAGGGCCAGGTACGACGTCAACCAGTGCCATCTCCGCGGCCCAGTGTCCTAAACGGTGGGCTTTCCAAACGTTGGCTTCAACCTGCAGAATCGTACTTACGCTGGCCTGCCTGTCCCCGGGTGCCCTGCGTCCAGCTCGCTTGCATGATGGTAGCTCTCCAATTCCCCTGGCCACTTGTGGCCCCCAGCCATCTCCACGACCTCTCTCCCCGCCAGCTCCCCGCTTTGCGTTCCCCACAGCGGCTGCTGCTGTTGTAGGTGCTGTTGCTCCGGACCCGATCCCATCTCCGCCGCCATGGCCGCGCCGCCCGCAGTCTTATTGTCCTTCTTTCCCCTCCGCAACCACCACACCACACCCACCACAACACCCACAACCACGACCGCCGCGCCAACGCCCACCCCCGCCTTCGCGCCCGCAGACAAGCCCTCTTCCACGCTCTCACTATCATCACTTCCCGTATCCGTCGTCGTCGACCCGCCCTCCCCCTCCTCCAGCGCGTTCAACACGCCCTTCCACGTCTCCGCCCACCCAGGCGCGCCCGTCGTCCGCGTCAGCTCCGTATCGGCCTCCTCGATAGTCTTCACCACCACTTCCTCAGCCACACCGTTACCGTTTATGCCCGCCGGGCCCGGCGCCTGCGCCAACCACGTCGCGCCGCTCTGCCAGTTCTGACCCAGGAACGCCGCCTGCAGGAAGGCGCGGCCGAGGATGGCTTCGGGCTGCTGGTCGCTGGATGAAGTAGCTGTGTAGGGTCGGCAGGGAAAGTACGTCGAGCCGCCGGCGGAGTCGGTGACGCGGGAGCTGAGGGTGAGGTTGAGGAGGGCGAGGGGCACGGCGATGGTGGTGTTGGACGCGAAGGTGAAGGAGAGGTGGTGCGGAGAGGTGACTAGTTGTTCGTACGAATCTGCGGTGGTGTCCCAGATGTACAGCCCGTAGTCGGCGTCGTAGTTGACCGGAAGGTGCGCGGCGATGGAGGCGCAGGTGGAGCCGGGGAGGTAGAGGTACGGGACGCCCGGGTCGGCGCGGGTGGTGAGGGAGGTGGCCGTGCTTGTGTCGAGGAGGCCGGTCACCGAGGACGAGGTGGTGTTCAGCAAGGCGCTTTCACCCGATTCCACGCCCAACGACACGTCGACCAGCGAGAAGAAGCCGTTGTCCGCGGCCGCGGACACGGGGTCCCCGATGACGCGCGCCTGGTCGTAGCCGCCCCAGTACAAGCTTCCCGGCACGCCGTGCGCCGCGGACCCCACGTGCAGGCCGTAGCTGATGCTCGGGATGGCACTCTGATTATACGCGCGCGGCAGCGTCAGGTTCTGCGACACGGCCGTCTCGCCGTCGGCCGCCGTCCAGTTGAACGTGGCCGCGCCGCCGTACAGCGACAAGTATCCAACATCCAGCGTGTACGCCTGCCCGCCCGGATACGTCACCGACACGTTGTCCGCCACGGCCGTCGCGACCATGTTCAGGTACTCGGTGTCGCCGTCAGCACTCAGCGTGAAGCGGTCCGACACGTAGCGCAGCGTCCCCTCGAGGCCCATGACGGCCGTCGTGTATATCCCGGCTTCGTCGTTCCACGCGTCGGGCCCGAAGGTCGCGCTGTTCATGGCGGCGCGCAGCAATTGCGCGCCGCTGCCCTTCCACATGCCCGTCGCCGGCGATTGGCAGTTGGATTGCTGCGAGGTGCAGGCGCTGGCGTTGACGATGACGGAGGTTTCGAGGAGCGAGGGGAGGAACCATTGTGTCTTGGTTTCGAACGTTAACGCGAGAATGCGGGGCAACGAGGAGAGCAAAGTACCTGGTCTGGGAAATCGATGTTGAATGCTTCAATTCAGTCAGCACCTTGTCAGTACTGAGGACGTTAGCTTTGAGTTCCACGTACTGATTACGTTCCACGGCCCGTCGGGCCCAACCGTCTCATTAGAACTAAAAGTTATTGGCCACGGACTGGCGGCTTGCGATAATGCGACGCATGATGTAAGCGAAGCAAGCGTTGCTAGTCTGTTCGAAATCATATTTGCGGAGAAGGGTTGTGGATTGATCTCCCGGAGACAGCCGGCAGCGCGCTTTCGCGCACTACAACAGCAGAAGGATGGCGGGAGCAACACTGCGGGAACCAAGGATGCACCGCCATTATGTACTTCCAATTTCCCCCGGGGCCACTGCCAAGCCGCCTAGGCAGAAAGAGCGGCCGCTTACACGGACATCCGGGCGGTGTTGAGAGCGAATGGTCACAAGCAATAAAGCTGAAGTTGGGGGCGGAAAAAAGCCCCCTTTGCTGAATGGCCCCGCGGTTTATTTTCTCTTACGACAGGGCTAATTAGCGCCACTGCATCTTTGATTTGGATCTCCTTCCTTTTGGCGTCGAAACCACCGACACGTTCACATTTTGCTTTGCCCGCCAGGCTGGTTTGGGATAAGCTTATCCGAACGCTTTTCCCAGTCGCGCGGAGCGAATGCACGTCAGGCCCCCACCATTCCCCAGCGATCTTCAGCCGCCGTCGGCCTCCTCCGTTCGACGGCGGTCGAGATGGTCTCGTCGTAGCGGTCTGGGGAAGCTTCGATGGAGGGTTTCAGCATGAAGCGGATCGTTCTCACCACGTGGCTTGGAGGAGGCCAAAAAAAAATTGCTCCGGCCCATCCGCGAACACTGCGCCGGCGCCCCCCGGAGGATCTTATACCGGTACTATGTTTAGCCAGGGTGCAACCCGCACAACTTTCCAATCGGTTGGGAGAAGCGGACCATTGCGGGGAAAAGTTAAAAAGATTCCCTTGTCGGATTGAAATAAAGTTCTGATGCGCGCGGCACAGCATCCCGTCAAGTTCAACGTCATTACAAAGCTGTTGTCGGATCCCCAATGGGCACTACGCAAAAGGAATACAATCCTGGGTCTTGTCGCAGCACTGATTCGAAGCTGTTGCAGCTAATCAGATACCAAAAACCGTCTTCAAAGATCAGATCTTACTGTACAAGACTACCCCGAGCCGCCTCATCACATGCCAGGAACATTGGCGTTTGTATCTCGTAGTAAACATCAATTCATCCTAGAGCTCATTAATCTTCGACAAAGTACACCTTTAACATAAACTCTCCAACACACATCCATATCACCTCAGTACCCCAACCTCACCGCAACAACCTTCCCACCCTCCACAAACGTCCCATTCACCGGCGCCGCACTCGCACCCCCCGTCGTCACGAACAACGTATCCTTCCACACCCCCTCCGTCCTCCCAAACGCCGCCGACGACGCCCCAGCAACAGTCGTGCTGTTCAATCCGCCCGCAACAACGGCACTGCGCCCGCTCTCCTCCACCCGCGTAATGACGTTGTCGTTCAGCCCAGCCAGGTATCCCACAATCTCGCCATCCCGTCCTTCCCGCCTCACCGCGAAATCGTCCGCCAAGTGGCCCCGCGCCACGACCTCGGCGTCGCCGGCGGGCTTCGCGGTGGCCGGGTCGACGGGCACGCGGCAGAAGAGGCGGCGGGGGGAGTTGACGTAGTAGGCGTAGCCGAATGGGGAGGGAGAAGAGGAGGAGGAAGAGGAGGAAGGAGGAACGTAGCGCAGGCCGTTGATGCCGAGCAGCAGGCCGAGGTCGGTCGTCGGCGACATGGTCGCGTTGTGCTGGAAGAAGACGGCGTGGGCGCCGGTGCGCGGGTCGAGGCGCCAGATCAGGCCGAGCTCGGAGTCGGAGATGAGGAGGGAAGGAGTGGACGACGTGGTGGTGGTGGTGCTGGCGGGCAGCGTGGCCATGCCGTTCAGGAGGCCGGCGGTGGGGAGGTTGGCGATGAGCGTGATGGCGGTGCCGTTGGTGGTGAGGTCGACGCGGTAGACGGAGTTGTCGGCGATGACGGCGAAGACGTCCGGGGCGAGCTCGGTGATGCCTGTGAGTTGGGTGTGGTTGGTGAAGTTGTGGACGAGGGTGGCTGCCGGATCGGCCGTTGTGTTGGGTGGGTGGGATGGGTTGATTTCGTGGAGGGATGGTGTGGGCTGTGTGAAGGTTACGAGGAGGTTCCCGTTGTGGCGAACGGCGATGTTTTCGACCCAGGTTCCCAGAGGGTATTGGTATACCGTGTGGGTGCTTGCGGCATTGAAGACAGCATCGTTAAGGATAGGTTGAGAGATTGCTGTCGCCGATAGTGAGAGAAGAGGAAGAAGATGGAAAAGGCTGGCGAAGGTGACCATTGTGCTGTGCAAATGGGAGAGGACTTGCTTGAGTCTTGAGGTTCGAGTACGGGAGGCTACTTATATTAACTGCTTGAGTCAAAAGAGGAGATTGTATGTCGCTAACCTTAAGTCTTTCGGGCCTAGCAGGCATTTACTATGCGAGGAGCAGGCAAATCAGAGAACTCCCGATCGGTAACATCATACGTCTGCTGAAAATGTGGGGCTCACAGAGCTCGCCATCTTAGCAAGGGCCTGCAGAAGGTCTGAAATTATGCGGCATTCCATCCGTGCTTTCGTCAAAGGCCCAGTTCAACGGAGTTTAGACGGCTATACGCGCCGTTAAGGCTTTGTTTTCTTCGTAGTGTTTGCCGTTCGGGCCGTCAGTCCTTTCCTGTTCCTTAACAGGCTTGATACCACGATCGTGGATCTTGATTAACCTTCCTATCTTTCACTTAGCCAATGACAATGAACTCCTTGACTCGAGCAAGGGGGACAGCGCTGAGAAGAAGAATGAGCTCTGGAGGTTGTAAAAGATTGACACTGTTATTGAGGTTACAACTATGACATCAGTAGAGCGGAAATAAAGAGAATCGAAACAATCTCTCGTCCTCCTCGGGGGTCTGATTATCTTCAAGGAAAATTTCTTGTATGACATCGATGTTTAGCCTCCAGTGTCGTCGGCCGAGGCAAATCTTCGGGAAAGGCGGCTGCGTCATTCGTGTAAAGGGTTACGAAGAATAACAGAGGCCTCAACATGACCCTTCCTCACCAGTCGCTGCTTAATCAAGCTGTAAATCGTGTCTCATAGTTGAATGGTATTGTCGAGCTTCTGTCTTCTGATGGAAGTGAGAAACGATGCCACGTCGGCTACACTGAATCCCGCATTGGTTACACCCCCAGTTTGACGTGAAGGAATTTACTTTCTAAGCAGATGCTTCCCGCTGGTTCCAGAAAACATGGCCGTTTTGACACCCCTGAGTCCACTGATCGGCACTCTCTCCTCCTTCGCCTTGACCTTTTCGTACACATTTGGCAGTGTCTCAGCATTGTACTTCTTCCTCAGGCCCTCATACCATTCTCTGTCATAGATTTGCCAGAACTCCTCCTCTGTGTAGTAAGCGTTGGCGTATAGCCACTTGAATCCGCCAAGCCGTTTTACCTCAGCCTCCAACGCGCGGTTCACCTTGACGAACGGCTCCGCCTTACGAGGTCCCGGACCCCAGACGCCAACGTTCAAAAGGAACTGCGGGCCTCCCGCACCGGTTCCCGCCGCACCGGACTCTGTGGCTGAATCCGCTGGCGATTCTGACGCACCGTTACCATCGGCGAGCTTTGGGTTCCTGCCGATCTTAGCGTGCAGAGGCACCGCTGATGCATTCTCGACGCGCAGTGGGCAAAGCCAGAGCGGGTAGGTCTTGGTCTCCTTGTCAACCCAGTTGATGAAGTCCTCGGCGCTGTCGAAGGGGAGCGCGAGATCCTGGATGATGTATTGCTGGGTGAAGCCGCTCGCGTTGAGGGCAGCGTACATGCGTCGGGTGTGCATGAGGCGATCCAAGACCAGGCGGGAGAAGCGGTCGAAGGGTGTGTAGAAGCGCTTAAATGCGTAGCGGCCGGTCCAGAAAGCACCGCGGTCGTAGCGGAAGAGGTAGTCTGTGAGCGGAATCACTTCGACGTGATTCTCCTTGCCCACCTTTGTGACGGAGTCTGCGTGAAGGTAGAACCAGTTGTCCCAGGCACGAGAGAAGCGCTGAGGTTTGATTGAGGGTGAAGAAGGGGCGTCTGTCATCTTGCCAAGCATGATGGAGCCGCGCTTGAGGGAAAACATGATGCCATCGATGTACTCGTGCGCTTCCTCGGCCATGGCGCGCTCTACGGTCTGGATGGCAGATTGTACGCTATCAACGGTTACGTATTCCAGCTCGACAAACTTCTTGGCGGGAATGAGCTGAAGCTCAAACAATGTGGTTACACAAAGAGTGCCGTAAGTTCCAGGGGCACCGTAGAAGAGATCGGGATTCTCGGTGGGCGATACTTTCGTGATTTCGCCGGTGGGAAGGATAACGTCGCACCAATTGACGATGCGGTCGAAGAAGCCCCATTTCCACGAAGAACTCTCGCCAGCCACGCCGGAAAAGCCGCCACCGGTAGTGATTCCGGGAAACTCCATGACGACGGGCGGTATCAGGCCATGTTTCAAAGTCTCCTCAGCCAGAGTGTCCATAGGCACGTTGGGTTCGACAAGGGCGACGTTCCGTTCGGTATCAACCTTCAGGACGCGGTTGAACTCGCTCATGTTGATCATCTTCTTCCTGTCGAACTGTACAATTCTGGTACTATTTGTTGAGCCATGGTAGATACGGAACGGCTCCTTGCGCTTATAGAAATCCTCAATGTGGGAAGCAATGGCCTTGACGGCGCTGTTGTGGTGGTCCATACTAGACATTATGAACTACTGCTGTACATGGGACGGACAGACAGGCGCTAAAGTGATCGGACCGAGCAGAACAAACACGGCTGACAAGCGATGTATGGGGGAATCTTGGGTATCAACAATATCCGAACGTTCCGGTGCGTTTGCGTGACAGGTGAGAGAAATCAGGCGGGTGGGATGGTTGGTCCCGACAGGAGGAGCGTCGTGTTGTGCGCAAATTAAGAGATAAGCACGGAAAAGAATGAATTGCACCGCGACGAATGCTGAGAAGTTGATAGGGGTGTGTTGCTCTGAACAACGTCACGCGTCGGGGCTGAGACTCCATCATACGATGACGCAATGCAACCTTGTTTTAATCTCTCCCGGCCCGAAAATCTCCCGCCCAGGCAGCCAGAAATAACAACCTACCCGGAGATTCTTCCTTGCTCGGCTCATTCTCTGTCAAATATTTTAGGACCAAAGTTCAATACGCACCTTTGGTAGTACTCTAATTGAAAGAAGCGCCGTAGTTGCGGCGGAGATCTAGCAAATGCGCCCGAGGTTAAATAGCTGTTATATGCGCTTAATTGAATGCTAAACATGAAATCTACTACAGTGAAGATGAGATAAAAGGAATAAAAGTATGCACAGTTCTAATATTTACTGCTATTATCTCACCCGTTAAAAAATGCACTGCATGCTTATTGAAAGGTCTCCGCCGATCTCTAAATCTCTCGTCTCTCAGCAGCTACATCTACCAAGCATCTCCACAACTGATTTCTGAATTTTCAAGGAATCCTCTGTCTTCTCACAGTCCGATTCATTGTTTGTGAGACAAAGAGAGACTACATCGGTGAAATTCTGTCCAGCAGTGTGAGACAACTTTGCCATCTCTTCCGCGTCATATCCGAACTCGACAAGCGAGGGTAGAGGCAGCATCTTCTCGTCCCGTTCAGCCTTTTGGATCCGTTCAGAGAGATCTGGAGTGCTGGAGTGTAGATCTACAAGTCTCTCCCATGAACCAAGCTCTAAAAGGACACACCCCAGCGAATATAGATCAAACGCCTTCCGGAACGATTGTCTGTCCGCTCCTCTTGCTGATGGATGTCTGTACAGGTCGTCCTCCAGGGATGTTTGCGGCTGTCGAGTCAACATCTGGCCATCTTCAGTGTCCGGCCGAGCGTTCTCAAATCCAATCAAGTAAGCTGTTGTACCAAGACAGTGCTCCAATGATGCACCCTTATTCGTGATGAAAATTATGTTCTCGGAGCGGATGCCTTTGTGTAGCCAGCCGGCGGTATGGAATTGAAGAACGGCTTCAGCCAAAGCCATGGCAATGTCGAATCGGCGGCTTAGCGAAGCCTGTGGCTGCTCACAGATGATTTCGTGGAGTGACTTGAGCTCGATTCGGCCGTTAAGCTTTAGCGAAGAGAGGTTGTAAACCAATCCGAAGCAATCCAGTTCTTTCCAAGAAACAAGGCCCATGCACGGTAGTACTGGAAAAGCGCTGCCATCCATTTTCCCGAGGAGAACGGCAAGGGCTTTCATTTGGGGCTCCATGAGATCCCAAGTTTCTTCTTCTGCCGATCTCCACTCAATGAGGACATCGGTATCTCGGTATCTTCCCAATTCAATACCATAGCATTCCAATCGCGACGCAGGAGGTAGCGGTTTGAGCCTTTTGGTGCTTAGAAGTTTGAGCTTTAGACCCATTTCGACCAAGGTTGCCGCATCTAGCGTGTGATCCGGGTTCTTTCTGCCCACGATCGACATGATCTGCTTAAGCTCCGCGGCTGCTGCTATCTGCCGGTCGTTGAATGATTGTTTTGGATAGAGAAGCTGCTTAATGGATTCGAGTTCGGCTGAGTTGGCTGACCTGGAGACCAGATCTCTTAGAAGAGCTTCTGTGGCGAGTTTCAGCCGATGCTGATCCGCCGAGTCGAGAAGGCTGTACAAGCGGTTGTTGATATCTTCTATCTCGCTGACGATTCGAAGAGCCTGAGTCTTCCCAACGGCGGCCCACTTGAGCCTTTTGAGAGGTCCATTTTGGGAGTGAATAAACTTGCTGCTGGGTTGATTGATCTCCGGCTTGAGCCGCTGTAGCAGCTTTCCCAGCGTGCTTTCACTGGAAGCCTCATTCTCGATGTCGCTGGCACTGATGATCTCTTCCGGAATGCGTAGCTTGTACTTCGCTTCCAGAGCTTCCGCAGAGGTCATGAGTGCTTTTTGCTGATTCAGCAATGTGACGGCTAAATTCCAATTGAGCTTTTCCTGTGCAATGTTGCGGACGCCGGTTCGCTCTCCCCACTCGCACAGGCGATGCCGTTCCCACACCAGTTTAGAACGCACAGAGTCGCCATCACTGCCCATACTTTGAGCCGTATAAACGAATCTGTATGCCTCGAGGCATCCCTCAAATGCTTCGAAAGCCAGGCTAATGAAGCCAGCAATGGCGGCGGCTCCTTCAACGCCTGAAGCCATGTTTGCTTCTGTCTGTGGAATCGTCGCTGGCGGTAGAGGTGGGTGTAAGGCTGACTTAAGTAGGGGCAAGGCTGTCGCGCGGCTCAGCTCACACGCACATGAGGCTGATTCTGTGGTGATAAGGGTGCGGGGTTTGATGGGGGCTGAGAAGCTGAAGTTTGCGCCCCCGCAGCATGAGTGGGCTGTGTGACCCGCAATCCCGAGTCACACGTAGGATTCTATGGCGCACTTAGCTATGCTAAGTATACGAGCAAACTTCAACGTCCGATAAACCTCAGCCTTGGGGGTGCTTCCTGGTCGCCATTGCTGTCGCCAGCTCGACTCCACTCGTTCCCGTCGGTTCTCATCATGAGTTTCCACTCGAATCCTTTTCGCTTCCGAAGATCTGGCAGCAAACCGCAGGCCTGGGCATCCATTCCCGCGGACCAGGCTGAAGGCGCGCTGGAGAAGTTGTGTCAGCCTCCCTTTACCCCCGATAAGTTTCAAAGAATCGCAGATCTTCTGTTACACGTCGATGCTGCTCGAACCCAAAACGATGGAGTCCCAAGGAACTGGAAATACAGACCGCGCATCTATACGGTATTGCGCAACATCGCTGCGGGTAACCATGAAGTGTACATGGATCAGTTTGAGGCCCACCACTACGTCGATTTCCATCTTCCGTTCGATAACCAAACCTTACCCAACTTCCTAATCAACTCCGAGTTGAAGATTAATTTCCTCAACTTCCAACATCATGTGCTGAGTCCCGAAGCACGTTCGCTTGTAATCGAAGGGGGAGAGCACCAACTCATTGCAGGAAGTGCTGATGCATATTTCTGGGTCCAGGAAGTGCTAGGACAAGGGGGGTTCGGGTGAGTGAGCTGCTAATGTCTGAGTCCCGAGGCTGACTGATGTGAAAATAGACAGGTTGACAAGGTCACCAGCAAGCTCAGCTTTGCCATCTTCGCACGAAAACGGATTCCCCGGCGAAGAGATTCGGCGATGAACCTCAGACGACAAAATGATTTCATCAAGGAGGTTGAAATCTTAAAGAAGCTCTCGCATCGCCATTTGGTGAATTACATCGGCTCATACACGGACAACAACTTCATAGCCTACCTGATGCGCCCTGTTGCTAAGTGTAACCTCCTTGAATTCCTAACATATCTCGGAGACCCTCGAAATGAAGGGAGAAGGAGACATGTTCAGCCTTTCTATGGCTGTCTTGCAAGCGCTATCAATTATCTCCATGACCAAAGCATCAGGCACACGGACATCACTACGCGAAACGTTCTTGTTGCCGAGCAGAACAAGATCTACCTTAGTGACTTTGGGACCGCAACAGACTTCTCCCAGTCCGGCAGAAGCACTACGCATGATATGCTTCCTATCAGCATTGATTACGTTGCGCCAGAGGTTGCTCATCGTCACAGAAGGAACAAAGCGAGTGATATGTGGTCATTGGGAGTTGTTTACCTCGAAATGACCACAGTACTACTCGGGAGCAATCTAGCCACTTTCCGAAATTTCATGGCAAGGAACTCGAACAACAAAGACCATTCACAATCTATCTGGGCAAACCTCCCAACAGCCTTGGACTGGCTGACGAAGATCATGTCCCCACACGTTGATTCGGCCAATGAAGCCATCACCTGGGTCAAAAATCTCTTACAGGATGACCCGAAAAATAGGTCAACTGTAAAAAACCTGATGGTTGATATTCAGCAGACGCCGTCCTTCCGACAGTTTTGCTGCCTGGACTGTTGGGATGAGTTCGAAGCTGGAGCCTTCGAGTTTCAAACGCCTTTGAACCCCGAGGGGTTCAATGAGACAATGAGAGATGCCACTGCTGCTGAAGTATCAGCGCGTGCTGCTGCTCTGTTTGAGCCCCAGCTCCCTCCAGCTCCGATGGACGTGAATCACTCACAATCAATCGAAAACTGGATTACAGCCTCAACAGATGCCACTGTTGACGTCGAGGATATCACACGCTCTTCTTGGGAGAGTTTGAATAGCAGAACAGTGAACCGGCGGCTATCTCTGGGATCCTTCTCGGAGAGCATGGACGAAAGCATGGCTTCTTACACCACGATCCAACAGCCGAAGAGAAGCCGCAGAACCATGAGAGAACCAGCTTATAATCGAACGCCTGAAAAGTCCCGCAACGAAGATATTGCGCTTGGATACATTGTTGAAGATGATAGCAGTTCAGATGAGGAAGATCCGGTGGTGAAGAAGCAAGCAAAGCTTGCTGATGGGTTCGTGATCGAAGAAGACTCTTCAGGTTCTGAGGCTGGCAGCTGCGAAGCTACTGCCTCTTTACAACCGTCACCTCTGTACGAAGCCCCATTTCGATCACCCGTGCAAATGGACAGCAAAACCCTTGAAGGTGCGCTTCCCTCGAAACTTGATGACAATAACCTTTGGGAATCGAAGAACGAAGATCTGGATAGCTCTGAAGAGGAAGAATACCTGAATGAATTGACCTTGGCCCCTCTCCGGAGTGTCGATCGCAAGGCTTTAGCCATGGACACTGGCAAGCAATTGGTACTATATCAACAAAATTCTGATCAACAGAAGCCAGAGCCACAAGCAATTTCAGACAGGCCTCATAAGGATCCTGAAACAGGGCATACAAGCTCCCGTACTGTTGATGTTTCAGTACCGCGGAAATTGTATCTAACGTGGCCATCTGATGAACTTGAGCATAAAGAGCCCACCGACAAAGTTCCTGCGCCCGAATGCCTACCGCCACTTCAAATAGAGTATCGAAAGGAGGATCAGGACATATCTCCGTCTATCTCCAACCACACCTTGAATGGGGCCTTCCAGGATGATATCTCAAAGGACTCGGGCATGCAGCTGGTCATCTCCTCCCATAACCAGCAATACTCTGATGCAGCCCATGAGACATTGGATAAAAGACACATGAAAGAAGACGCAATCTCCCAAGAACGCGAAAAAGGACAATCTACAAAGCAGGTGGGGAATGAGAAAAGTTCGCCATCAAAGCAGTCTCATGGAACCAAGAAGATGGTCCGGTGGCATGAGAAGTTAATCGAGGAATCCCCAGGAGGTATGGACGAAGATGATGAAGCAGCAGCCCGCCGAGTGAAAGGTCCTCGTACAGACAAACAAGCTAGTGTAGAAGATGCGAAAGATGAGTCTGAAATTGTGTCTGAACCAAGCGGAGAGCAGAGCCGGACAAACCATGGGACGGATGCAAATGCAGGCCTCAATCTTCCAGTGGAGCCTCTCATGCTTAATGGATCTTCTTCCATGGCGCTTGGATCCGAAGATTCATCTACACCTGGAAAACAGAAAGCCAAGCCACCGAAGAAGGGGAAGAGGCATGCATCACAGCCATCGAAGCCCAGAAACGTTCCGGAAAAGCCGGTTCAGAAACAAGAACGGACGAAGAGAGTTCCCAAGTCTGCGCCATCACCCACCCTTTTCATGGAGGATGCGCGGAAGGCTGGTCAGCACGCCAAAAGCATTGCAACGAGTCAAATGACATCGCGCACAAAGCAAGCCCTGGCTGGTTGGAACATCAACCGGTGGGTGGACGAGACCAACAAGCTCCTCGAAGTCTTCTGCACTCGCGGTTCTGTCGGCGCCGTCCGCCAGCTGCTCTCACAGAAATGCAACCCAGGTACGAAAGCTAAGCCGCGGCGAGGGCCGCTTCTCAACGCAATCCGTGGCGCCAGTGCCAAGCATAGCAAAATAGTCAGGGCCCTTCTCGAATATCAAGTGGATGTGCATATCGTCTCCCCTCGCCACTATAACAAGACGCCGCTGCACCTGGCGATTGAGAACAACGACAACGACGGCTACGTCAACATGGTCTACGACATGGTATTCGCAGGCGTCGACCCCAACGCAAAAGATCGCAACGGCGAGTGCGCCCTCGAGAAGATCTTCAAGGGGCCCGAATCGCGCGGACTTGAGAAGTACCGGTTAGATGCACTGGCATTGTTGCTACTATCCGAGGAAAAGGGAGGGACGAAAGTCAAAATCCAGGTGCCCGCGACGCGAGACACACCGTTGCACCTGGCGGTGCGGCGCCGCAGCCCCATGGCGGCTGCGATGCTTCTGCACAAAGGCGCTGATGTCAATGCTGTGAACGCATCCGGTATGACTCCTCTACTCTCTGCTGCCGTGATGTGGAAGGGCGGCGGCAGAGGTGCGGCCTCGCAGATGGCACCGGATGATGAGCAGATGTTGGATATACTCGTGGCGCAGCCGGGCATCAAATTGGACGAGTTTGCCGGGACACAGCGCCGCACTGCGCTTCACCATGCCGTTGTTTCTGGCATGCCGCTGGCAGTTGAGATTCTGCTTGACAAAGGAGCGGATCCGAAACTTCGAGATGCTGATGGGAAAGATGCACCGGGACTAGTGGCATGGGGGAGGGAGAAGGAGACGAACGATGATGAGAAAATACGCATGCTTCTTAGTGATGCACTTGGAATATAATCGCCTATGCATTGGAGTCTATAGAAAAAAGCATTCCTGTCTAAGGTCTTACACGGCGATGAGGACTTCACATGTGTTCTAGAGTATAAGCAATCGTGCAATTGAGGCTGGGTTTTTGAGTGAAAAATAAGACGGCTCGGCAGGATGCGGCGTATTAGGGCGGATGGTATCGAATCATTTCCGTTTCGAAGGATTCACTCCTGTACTGCGTTGGCGTAACAGCACTAACGAGACTAATTCAGCCCAATGCCCTTTCATCAACATCAAACGTCGCAGACCTCGCCTAATTAGGAAATTTCTGGGATCCCGAAATGAAACTTCTGTGCCAGTGGAAAGGAACTGCTGCTCATAACACGAAGGATTCCGTCCTGAAGTGGGAGAATTTAGGGCCGTGAGAAGCTGCTGCCATCCGTTTTGTGAAACACCAACAGTCCTTTCGCTAACAAGCAATCTTGATTGGCCACAGTCTATCATAGTGAACCAGAGTACCCCCAGAATTAGCAGCTGGAGATGTCCCTTCTAATCTTCAGATTCGAACCACCTCCAAAAGTATTTAAACTCATACCCATCCCAAAGACCCAACCATTTCTTTCAAGAGCTTCACACGAACACTCTTACCACCATCATGCTCTCCTCCACCCTCTCCCTTCTTACCCTCACAACCCTCGCCCAGGCGCATCTGGCCGCATGGGCCCCAGGCATGTATTGCCGCAACGGCAGCAACCCGGATTCCGACAACCAAAACAACAACCTACCCGTCGGACCCCTCTACGACCTACCGCAGTCATCATGGTGGTTCCAAGCTGACCGTGGCTGCGACAAGCTTCCTCCGCCCGCCGGCGAGTTCCTCTCCATCCCGGCCGGCGGCGCCTTCACCGTCGAGATCGCCAACAACCGCGCCTTCACAACGCTGAGCTACGACGGCGTGATGGCCAGCGAGTGGCCGGACGGCGCCGAGCATCCCGAGGACTGGGCGGGCGAGTGGGATGGAAAGGAGTGTCTGCCGGATGGCGGGTTCATGCATGCGCAGAACCGCAGCATGGCGGCGGGGACGGCGTGGGCGATTGCGTATGAGAGTGATGTGGCGAAGGTGGGGATGGAGGATTTGGTGGTGTTTTCGGTGCTGGAGCAGTAAGTGTTCTTCATTCGTTCCTATTCTGTCAAGCATCTGTGCCGCGGTGGATAGATGGGCTAATGCGAATCACTCGTCAGCACGCCTTGGAAGCGGCTTGCCACGTACGAGGCGCCAGTTGACCTTCCAGCTTGTCCCCCTGCAGGCTGTACTTGTGCGTGGCTGTGGGTGCCTAATGGGTGCGGACAGGCGAATATGTATGTGAACCAAAGAGAAGTGCGTGAGCCTCATGAGTTGCTAAGTTCTTTTCATCAGGTATATGCAGCCATACAGATGCAACGTTACTGGAGCTACTTCAGACAGAAAGCTGGCCAAGGCGAAACCTCCTGTGATGTGTGAGTACGACAGCTCAAAGTGCGTTGCGGGTGCAAAGCAGATTATCGCGTGGAATCGTAAGCGGCAGTCCTACCATCCAGAAGCTCCTGGGTATATACTCAACTAACAATTGTTGTGACAAACAGAGCAGTCCGGCAACAACATCAAAGTTCAGCAAGGCGAATCACCTGCTTATAGCGAAAAATGTGGCTGGAAGCCCGGCGCGCAGGACGATATCTTTGTCGTCTCTTGATACTTCTAATCATATCATCTAATGTTTGGGATCTCAACGAACGCACAAGCAAAAAAGTATTATTTTAGACATTCAATCTTGCGCAAATGCATATATTTAGCCAATCGAACTCAACAACCCAAAGAAATCGGACAAAAGACGCGCTGTGGACTTGCATATTGGTCGTCTCCATGTAGGAGCCATTATTCTAATATTCGGGCTAATTAGTGGCGGTACTGCAGCGCCGCTCATGTCCAATTTCGAGAAGACTACATTGATCACGCTGGTACAATAGTCATCGCGATGCTTGCTCGCACTCTTGTAGCTATCTTCTCGGCCGGGGCGATCCTCCGGCACCTCCTCCGACACTTCCTCCGGCGGTCCTTCGATCCATATGTAAAAGCTTATCGTAGCTTATCTATTGGCTGGGAAGCTGAACACTGCATATGTCGTTCTACTGCATCTATATCAGGCAAGCGATATACATAAAAGAAATGTTGGAGGACCTGCCGGAGGATGTGCCGGAGAACCTGCCTGAAGACGCACCGGAGGACGCGCCGAAGGGTCGCGCCGGTCGAGGAGATTCAATGTGCCGCGAAGACGTCAAGGTAAGTTCCCCATCTGCTGCATGGACTCATCCACAAATTAGACAACAAAGTCGAATGAGTCCTTTCATGAGATAATATTCAGCTAATGTTAGTCTGGAATTCCTAGTCAGTACAAAGACCGGCTGGGCAGAGAACCCTTTTGCCGTTATTGCTACTCTCGGCTTTCTAAAAGTGACGCAATCACCGATGTCGAATGACTTTTCGGACAAGATTATTAAATATATAGCCTAAAAGTGCTCGCGAAGGCGGGGTGTTGTACATAGATACATGCTAGTGTATATCGCTACTAGCCCAACCAAGAATCAATCGAGCGTTAAAACTATTTGACTTGTTTAGGTGCTACGTACCGATGCTTATTTGTTTTAGCGAGACGCCAACAGCCCTAACGGCACGCAGAGCACCGTCATCGAGGGCTACAAGATTGACGGCTCGTTCGGGTACCGCAGTGAAGGCCTGTACAAGAGCGATGCGTCGTACGTCAGTCACGCGCACGGCTGGGACGCCGGGCCGACGACGACACTGACCGAGTTTGTGGTCAGCTTGAGGGTTATGGATGTTCAGAGTAGGCGCTGGTGGATCCAGTCGTTGTACGGTGGTCTGGAGAGGGCTAAAGGAGGATTCACGACGGGGCTGGGGAAGTTCCGGGCGGCTTGGGTAAGGGACGACGATGGAGTTGTGGAACTGACGTTTGGCGTGCCGGCGATGACCGAGGAGGTTTTGGTCTTGAGCCTGGACGGCGAGGCGGTAATGACGGTGAAGAAGGCGGATGAAGAAGAGCCCAGAAAGGAGGAGGTTCAAGTGTCGCAGTCGAGTACGGAGGTTGAAATCGCTGTGAATGCTTCCGGTGCTGAGTACACAGTCAGCATACTTACGAGTAGTGCTTCATTGGTCAAGTACACACAACTAGCACGGAGACTCTCCACACATCTCTTACAACATGCGGTAGAAGCCTCAACCCAATCATAGGTTGGACTATTGCTATTCCCATCAACATCTTAATTGCCCGAGATAGCCCAACATCATCATCACCATCGTGAGGAAGGAGGCCGGCAGTGTCATCTTGGCCTGATGCGGTCAATCATGTCCAACATGGGATTTTGCGATTTGTCCGTCCGCCCGGCTGCGAAGAAGCATACCTTTTCTGGATAAATCGGCTAGGCGGATTATTTGCAGTTTGCTCGATTCAACTTTCCTCCGAAGAAGTGGAAATTTTCGGGTTGCCATGACGCGACCGGCGGGGTCAGTTGCGGAGAAGGTGCTTTAGTGCCTTGTGGGGCATGAATTATGCCTCCAGTCTCACTGAACCAGGCGTGATCTCGATATATAAATTGCCGACCGCGCTTTCAAATTACGGCCCATCAACGCAGTCCTGATTGCACTCCTCTCAAGTATGATGGTTTTCGCTCACGTTCTTGTTAGCTTCTTCGCGCCTCTCGCTTGCGCCCTCGTACTTCCCGATGATGTGGGAAGGCTCCCCGCTTTAGGCTGGAACTCCTGGAACGCGTTCCACTGTGACATCACCGAGGACTCGTTCCTGACTGCAGCAGAGTATCTTGTCTCGCTCGGATTGAAGGACGCCGGGTATCAATACGTCAACATTGACGACTGCTGGTCAGATTTCAATGGTAGGGATGAAGTCACTAGCAGGCTTCTGCCCAACTACACCCGCTTTCCCGACGGCATCAATGGCACCGCAGCGAAGATTCACGACCTCGGGTTGAAGTTCGGAATTTACAGCAGCGCCGGAACCGTGACTTGTGAAGAGTATCCAGCAAGTTTGGGGTACGAGAATCTGGATGCTGAGACATGGGCGGAGTGGGGAGTTGACTGTGAGTCTTCGCTTCTGCTCAATGTCCATTGATGATCTCCTTCTTAATTCCGAACCTGGCAGACCTGAAATATGACAACTGCGGCGTGCCATCGAACTGGACAGACGAGTGCGATTATTGCGTCGCAGACAACCTCGACAGCTCGGAGTTGAACAACGGGACTTGTGAGTTGTCAGGAGCGGGAGCTGCGATAAGTAGCTAACAGCGGCACAGGCATTGACACGACCGGCCTCTGCCCCGACGGGTATAATTACACTGATTCCAATTCTGCTGAGCGATACCGTCGCATGCGGGATGCTCTCCTGGATCAGGAACGGCCGATTCTGTTCAGCATGTGCAACTGGGGTCATGCTGATGTCAAAGTCTGGGGAAACGAGACCGGAAGCTCTTGGCGCATGTCCAGAGACATTCAAGGTCAGTCTTGATATCCTCCGATATCTCTTCGATCCGCAAGAGAATGCCAACAATAAAGGTAGATCGGTGGGACAGCGTACTCCGTATCCTGAACCTGAACTCTTTTCAGCTCAATAACGTCGACTTCTGGAGCCACGGCGACACCGACATGCTTGAGGTCGGTAACGGTGGACTGACCTTGGCGGAATCGCGATCCCATTTCGCCTTTTGGGCGGCCATGAAGTCGCCGCTCCTAATTGGCACGCCGCTTGACGTGCTAGAGGACGATTATTTGGCTATCTTGCTGAACAAATATCTTCTTGCCTTCCACCAAGACACAGTGTTCGGTGCGCCAGCGGCCCCATACAAGTGGGGGACCAATCCTGATTGGACATTTAACGCAACAAGGCCCGCTGAGTTTTGGGCTGGGCGTTCGCAAAACGGTACGATGGTCTGGTTATTCAATACGGACGACAGTCCAGCGAACAAGACGGCGAACTGGGGCGAAGTTCCGAAGCTCGAAGAAGGCGGCTCCTACAGCGTTCTGGATGCTTGGACGGGTGAAGACCTTGGCTGTGTGGCCGGTGAATGGACGGTTGAGCTGGAAGTTCATGACACAGCGGTATTGCTCGTCCAGGACGGTTGCAGTGAGGGGATCGATGAGGCGAGGTGAGGTTTGATCGCACGTTAGCTGGATCAGATAGCTTCCTCACTTCGGCGTGGAATCGAATGAGATGGTCGTGCCTGCCGCTTTCGCAGTCACCACGTTGCGCAGTTGCCGTCTTTGGTATGACCACTTGCGGCGCAAACTTTTCATCGCTTGCTCCACGCCCACCATCCTCTCTTCCTCGCTCTTCCTTCGCATCGTCATCCGGCAACAAGGCATACCACGATGCTCCAGTGGGCCGCCCTTCGACGCGGGCGCCTCCCGCTTCGTCTGGCAAGCACCGAGCAGAAGCATATCGACAATTTGCCACTGCAGACCCGCGACGTCAACATCAGCGCTTGGGACAGCTCGTCCACTCTCAACGGCGACAAATATGAGTCTCTTCTAGATGAGAAGAAGTCGCCTGTGTCGCAAGTTACAGAGACAATCTCCCTCCGTGATGAAGAGCCGCTCAAGAAGCGTCATGCATCCTGGCTCGGAGACTGGTGGATTTGGGAGCTATTCGGTATCTTCGGCTCCGCCGCCACACTCATCGCTATCGTCGTTATTCTAGCCAAGCACAACCGCGCCGAGCAGCCGGAATGGAAGCACGCGTCGCTCAACTCGTTGATTTCCGGGCTTAGCACTCTCGCCAAGGTCTTTACGCTGTTCCCGGCCACCAGAGCTTTGAGCCAGATGAAATGGATCTGGTTCGCGAGTGAGGACCGGAAACTGAGCGACCTGACGATCTTCGATGCTGCGAGCAGGGGAGCTACGGGCAGCATTGAGTTGCTATACAGTTTGAGAGGCGGGTCCGTCAATCTTCTATTGAGTTTTCATTAAAGTCGGATTTGGCACACGTTGACGCTACTAGTCACAGGTCTTTGGTGACGCTTGGAGCGTTGGTGACAATTCTCGCCTTGGCGTTTGAGCCCTTCGTCCAGAACGTCATACGCTATCACCCGCAAACCGTGCCTTCAGCAACGGAACCGGCCTTCTTGGCGAACGTCTCCTTCTACGACTACAGCGGTCAGAACTACAGTTGGCACACTGCGGCTCATCCATTGCTCAGGACAAACGTTGCAAACGCCATGTACTACTTCGACAAGCCAGAGCTGTGGGCCCAGCCCAGCTACACATGCCGCACCGGCGATTGCACATGGGGCTTTGTGTCGACAGTAACAGTTCGCTCCGAATGTTCGGACGTTAGCGACAAACTGGTCTACTCACAGGTACCGATGAAAGACCCCGCTGTTTTCGGCTATACAAAATCGGTGAGCTTTCCTGGTGGGCCACGTATCCAGTACCAGGAAGCAGATGACTCGGTCAATCCGATGGGGTCTGTCATGTACGTGCAGGCCATCACACACGACAGCCCTCCTTGGGGCATTCGAGCCATTGAGCCTAGAGGGAACGTCAACTTTGCAGAAAACCTGTCGTGGCTGGACCACAGCAAGGCAAGCTTCATTGGCACCGAGTGCACCCTCATTCCCTGCATCCGCAGTTTTAGGGCTGCCGTGAGCAATGGAAACTACAGGGAGGAGGATGTCAAGGAATGGTGCAAAGGAGGCTTTACCGGTGGAAATTTTCCAATCTGGCAAATTCAGCATCCTGAATGGGGCCCCGAGCGCGGAGTCCGGCCTGGAGAGGTCTATGGCATTGGCCGAAACGGATTCCGGGGAATCGACGACTTCTTTCACTCCTCTTTCAATGGGTACATGGATGTGGAAGCTCCTGCTGTTCGTTTTGTCCCAGTGCAGGATGGTTCGGTAGAGGGAGGCGGAGTCCAGATCCTGCGAGGCATGTTCACCAGGAAATTTGCTTCGACCGAGTGCGAGAACTCGACGCACAAGATCAACTGCAGCTTTGCGAGCCTGGCAACAGCGATCACGAAGAGCATCCGAGATGCGCCGTACGCGGAGCACGGATGGGAATCGGCGAACATGGCTCGTGGACAAACCCTCGTATCGGCTCAGTATGTCGAGGTTCGATGGAGCTGGTTGATGTTACCGATTCTGGTGTGGGCTCTCAGCACAGTTGCTTACGTCGGCACCGCATGGGAGACTAGGAGGGCTAAGCTACAGCTATGGGGAAGCAATCCGCTACCGCTCCTGTTCCTCTACGAAGACGCCAACAGCAAGCGAGGACTGCATGGTGGGACGTCTGAGGCAGCTTTCGTAGAGCGGTCGGAGAAGATAAAGGTACGTCTTCACGTATCGGAGACGGAGGCAAGGTTGGTCGATGCTTGAGCTGCTTGGGGAGTTATTGAACAATGGTTCCAAATCCACTTGCGATCAGATTGGCGAACTTCGGTCCTTACGTCGGTTGGTGTGGATTATCGCGGAGAAGGCTCCTTAGGTCATGTAGCATGTCATCTCGTTTGCGTTGCCGTAGCAAATAATTGAGAGGCCATGTCCAATAGTCAGGGTCCAAAGGCGGTATCACGGCATTTGGAGGATGAAGATGCAGGAGGCAAGGGCGCGATGCGGGCCTGACACGGAGCGCGTGACTGCCTGATGTGGTGCAATCACCGAGCCGGCGTCATCGGCCCCCCGGGCTGGCAGCTCCGTATCAGCTATCAGCTTGCGCCCAGCTCCCAGGCACCGTCATCTGCAACCAACGTCCACCATGAAGTCTGCTACCATTATCTCATCTTTCGCTGCCGCAGCCTCCGCGCTGTCCATCCTGCGCGATGGCCAGGAACCTCTCAAGCAGCCCAACCTGAACCTGCCCAGCGAGCCCGAAGCCGCCGAGTCGTTCTTGATCGAGCTCTCTCCCGGCGAGACGCGCTGGATCACCGAGGACCAGAAGTGGGAGCTACGCAGGGTGCGTCAACCCTTCCCAGACACAATCGCATGCCGTCGCTAACAGCCGCGCAGCAAGGAATCAACTTCTTCGACATCACCGACACGCAAGACCTCGGCTCGATCGCCAAGAGCGCCGCGACCGTCAAGTTCCCGCCCACCACCGCCTATAATGACACGGTCAAGCCGCTGCTCAAGCAGCTGAAGAAGGAGAACATGCACAAGCACCTGGAGAAGTTTACCTCGTTCCACACGCGCTACTACCGTTCGCAGTATGGGGCAGAGTCGTCAGCTTGGCTCTTGTCTCAGGTGAATCAAACTTTGGCCGACGCTGGCGCACTCGACCATGGTGCATCGGTAAAGCCGTTTGAGCACCCGTGGGGTCAGAGCAGTATCATTGCCACCATCCCTGGAAAGAGCGACAAGACTGTCGTGATTGGTGCCCACCAAGACAGCATTAACTTGTTTCTGCCATCCATCCTTGCGGCTCCTGGCGCAGACGACGGTAGGTAACCTCATATTGTTAGCGAGATTTTGCTGATTGTGTATGAAGATGGTTCCGGTACCGTGACTATCCTCGAGGCTCTGAGGGTGCTGCTTACCTCTGAAGATGTTGTCAAGGGTAAGGGTGAGAACACGGTCGAGTTCCACTGGTACTCGGCGGAAGAGGGCGGCCTGCTCGGATCGCAAGCCATCTTCCAGTCGTATGAAAAGGAGGGAAGGGACGTGAAGGCGATGCTGCAGCAAGATATGACCGGCTACGTGCAGAAGACCATCAATGCGGGCGAGCCGGAATCTGTTGGCGTCATCACCGATTACGTCGACCCTGGCCTTACCGAGTTCATCAAGGAGGTCATCACCACCTACTGCGACATTCCCTACGTCCTGACCAAGTGCGGTTATGCCTGCTCCGACCATGCGAGCGCAAGCAAGGCCGGCTATCCGTCCGCTTTTGTCATCGAGAGCGACTTCAAGTACTCGGACAGCAAGATCCACACCACCGAGGACAAGATCGAATATCTGAGCTTCGACCACATGCTGCAGCATGCGAAGCTGACTCTTGGTCTGGCGTACGAGCTGGCCTTTGCCAAATTCGATTAAAGGAAGCAGTTGACCACCGCGTTGGTCTAACTCCACGTTTAGTTTTTTTTTTTTTCTGTCTTTCATGTCCATTAATAAATACGAAGGCGAGGTACAAAGGGGAGATATGGCTCCAACAAGAACACAATAAGACTTGAAATGAAATAGACATGCTGAACATTCTCATGTGCATTCAAATACCTACCAGTTGAGGCTAGATTTGCTCCCGATTGGGACCGAGTCTGATCCAGATATCACTTGTTGCAGTGCTTGAGATAAATGTGTTTGGATGGGCTTTCCTACGGAGAATAACGATATGATGCGTGCCGTATCGTGATGCCGCGGAGAGTATGGATAACTATGCAGATTGAATGAATGTGCGTTTGTTAGCAAGCCTGAAAAAATGATCTTGGTTTGCTTTTTCTGTTTTTGGTGTAGCTAGAGCTATTAGTATGATACGTGTGCTTTCCCTGTTATGCCACGTCGTGATACTAGTTTATGGCACGACGGGATACCAATCCCGAGGCAAGGCTGAAAGCCCTTTTTCGTGGCGTACAGCTGAGGCAGTGTGACGCCCCGTTGCTGGGCAAATGTGAGCCTTGTTCCTGATGCCTAGAAATGTGGAGTTGTTGCGATTTGTGCAATGTGCGAGTGAAGTGCAGTCAAGCTTCTTTTACCTTTGGTTCTGGTTTAACTTATTGAGCAAGTCGACCATGGATGCTCAACTCTGGCCTACAGTCTACTTCCATGGGTTCACATGTTTCAGTAATAATCCTGGGCACTAACCCGAGCCGGCTACCGATAGAGAAACCGTTGTCTTTCCCTAGGATGGGCCGTGTGCTTTGAAACATGGATAACGCGGTTCCGAGATAAGAGACTTTTTTTTTTAAAAAAAAGTCATATGACGGTTGATACAACTTCCCCGCATTTGGCACAGGTGACGAGGAAAGTCCGCCTTGCAGGATTTGGTGGTGTTGCAGCTCAGCCCTGCGGCGATCTCCCGCAAGCTCGTTGGATTGGCGTGTCCCCACCACACCTGCAGCTGCACATTCTCCACCACTCAACCCGCCGTCTAAGCCCCCGCCCTCGACCGGCTTCTCCAGGCACCAACCAGAGCTTATCCTGCTTCGCTCACCGGGCAGATGCGACATGTAAAGCCACCCGGCCGCCCCCGCTTCCACACACTGCCCTCCCAACGGCTCCGTCTGCAGCATGCTGTCCGGTCTCCCCTTTCGCGCAACCTTGCGCCCCCGCCAACCTCAGCCCGACCCTGGCGCTACGTCAACCGCTCGCCGGAGCCAGAGCACCAGCCCGCATGCCGCCGCATCCTCCGACTCCGGCGAGTCCGATGACCCGGATATAAGCTCGCTCAATGCCCAGCTCGACGTCCTCACCACCGTCTTCCCCGACGTCCAGCCCGAGGTCTTCCGTGAGATGCTGAACAGCTTCTCCGAGGAGAGCAGGCTCGAGGTCGTCACCGAAGCCATGCTCAGACAGCCCGACCGTTGGGTGCGCGGCCGCCATCGCACCTCCCCGCTCGACCAGAAGGACCACGACGCTACCGACAACGCACCCCGCGCGCCCCACACTTCGGATAAAGATGCCCGGCTCCCGGTCGAGGAGAGGTTCCGGAATGAGACATACAAACTGGCGGTCAAGCAGGCTTTATATCAGGAATTCAAGGGCCTGAGTCACTCTACCATTCGCGCCGTTCTGGCTGAGTGCAACTATTCTTATACCCACGCTCGTCCGACCCTGCTAGGGCTTGTGTCCAAATCATGGAGGTTCTCCGTCACGAGCTTCTTCACTCGTCGAAAGCCGCCCTCGGCCCAGGATCATCCGCTTGTTACCTGGCAGAAGCCGGATCCTAGCATTGGTGGAGCTCTGGTGCCACGGTTGGTGCCGACCAAAAGCGCGGAGCTGAACAGGGAGCTGTATGATTCATTAATCGCCCCGCTGCTACGCAAGCAGAACGAGGAGATGATGGTTGAAGATCGAGCTCTTGCCGAGCAGCTCAACGAGGAGGAAGCCGAGGCTGCCGGCGAGATGTATGACTGCGAGTGTTGCTTTACTCCCAGCGCTTTCGAGCACCTGTCGTCGTGCGACCAAAGCGGCCACTGGATATGCTTCCGCTGCATTCGTTTCTCTATGAACGAAGCGCTGTATGGCCAAGGCTGGGCTTGCAGCGTGAACACCGAACGGCTGACGCTGAACTGCATCGCTCCCGTTTCCGACGGTCAGTGCCAAGGATGTCTTCCGCAGCACTCCGTCCAGCGCGCACTTGCCGAGGAACGTGACGGCGAGGCTACTTTCCGTAAGTTTGAGGAGCGGGCCATTACTGACTCTTTGCGCAAAAGCGACCTTCCTGTCATTCAATGTCCTTTCTGCGCCTACGCTGAGGTCGACGACGTCACGTTACCACTTCTCTCCTGGAAACCAGGCTTCCGCCGCACCCTGAGCATCTGGGCTCTTCCTGCTGCGCATTTCTTGTATCTCAAGCCTATCTACTTCCTCATCCGCTTCCTCTCACTATTCTCCTTCTTCTTCGTCACCCTCAACTATCTCCTGCCCAGACGCTTCCGCATCGACTTGGTCTCCCCGCTCCTCGCCTCGCGACAGCGCGTCGCCCGGCTGCGGCGTGGACTGCGCTTCACGTGCGCGCACCCGGCGTGCGGACGGACGTCGTGCCTGGCGTGCCACAAGGCGTGGCGCGACCCGCACGTGTGCCACGAGTCGGCGCTGGCGTCGCTGCGCACGCACGTGGAGAACGCCGTGTCGAACGCGGTCAAGCGGACGTGCCCGCGCTGCAACACGTCGTTCCTGAAGAGCGGCGGCTGCAACAAGCTGGTGTGCGTGTGCGGCTACGCCATGTGCTACGTCTGCCGCCAGCGCATCGCGCCCGACGAGGGCTACCAGCACTTCTGCAACCACTTCCGCGGCAACAACCCGGGCGTCGACAACTCGTGCGACGAGTGCGACAAGTGCCACCTATACGCCGAAGAGGACGTCGAGGCCGTCGTGCGGGACGCGGCCAAGGAGGCTGAGAGGGAGTGGAAGGAGAGGAACGGCGCCGAGGGCGGCGACTCTGCCGCCCTCGCGGGCCTGAGCGTGCAGCAAGCCGCGCTGTTGGGATATCATACCAGCGGCAGTGGCGGGCTGGGGAACAAGCAGATGCAGCCGCGGCAGCAGGAGTTCGTCGGTGTGGGTAAGGGGAACGAGTGGGAGATGTGGTTGGATTGGCTGATGGATGCTGTGTTGGCGTAAGAAGCAGCTTCTCCTCCCTTCTTTCTGCCTTCATTTCTTCTTGTTCTCTTTTTGATCCTCCCTGTTTATAAGGGGCAGGCAAGGCGTTGGAATTATTTTTACTGGCGGCTGGGGTGTTACTTGTTTTTCTGGGACAAGGCGTTCTTTTGGTTTGCATAGCGGTGGCGCTTCATTGTTCCAAAGTTTACGACGCTGACGTGCTGGACGGCACCGCAGAAGAAGAGATGATAGACCGGATGGGGTGGTGGGAGGGTCGGCTCACTCGCTGCTCTGATATCCTTTTATTTTCTTCAGGTCAATGATTCTCTTTACGTAACCAAGAGAAATAGGTATATTTATAATGCAGACAAGATTTCATAGTGGGTCTGAGCGCGTTTGTATGTGGAGTGCCATTATATGTTATTTGGTCACGGCAGGTAAATGTTAAGGTGTGCTTCCAAGGGAAATTTTTAACATTAAGTATTCTCGTATGCTGTGAACCTGTTGTGCTACAAGTGTACATGCCGTATATGATTTTCACGGTTTCTTTCGTATCGACGTTTAGTCAATTAGGACAAGTCCAGGTTGTGTAGTCTGAAGTATTGCGGTGTATACATCCGTTATCCCTAGTACCCTTGATGTTCCCGGCTAGGTTGACGTCGAAGGGAATTCACTTGCTATCTATACTTAATAGACGTTTCTCTCCACAGGAGTTACTTTGAAAACCAGTTAGGGCTGAATAGTCTGCTCGTTACTTAGGATGCTTAACATTTAGTCTGCCTTCTTTAACCTTTTTTAAGAGTCCAGGAAGCAGAAGAACGTGTTTTATTTCCACGCCATCAGTACTCAATCAAATTTTGTATATAACTTCATTGGCTGAGGCCTGCTTCCATCGAACTGAGAGAGACACTCGAGTAACATCGAGTAGATCTACAACTTCCGTTGTGGTCTAGGGGCTAGGATTTGCCGCTCTCAGATACAGAGCACTCCTCGCATCAAGCGCCGGCAAGGCCCGGGTTCGATTCCCGGCGACGGAAAGGAAGTCAGTACAGTTCTTTTTGCTTTTTGCTGTCCTCCTGGACGGACTACCCAATGGTGTGCATCTTCTTTTGACTCAGGGATACTTATCCGGACTCGGAATGGCCGGAAGTTTGTTGGTCCTGTGAGCACATTCATTGACTTTTTGAGCAAGTGTAGAGGAACGGTGCAAAAGAAGACTGAAGTGGCGGCGTTGTGAGTCTTGCTTGGGGTGGTGCTGTAGGGATTGTATGCAAATGCAATGAAGTAGGCCACGCGGCAAAGGGTCCATTCGAAGGGCCAGATGGAGAAGGAGAAGCACAACGGCCGGGATAGCGAGGGCTGTGATTGAACGGTGCCTGATCTGAAGCGAGATGCGTCGGGAGCTTGCGGCTTCAGACGATCGGTTAGGCGGGGAAGCTGTGCAAGGGTCCGAGGAGGGGCCGCCCTGCCGCTCCAGCTGTCCAGTGCAGGCCGCGTGCACCGCAGCTCTACCCGCTACACCACCCCAGTCCTCCGCAGAATCCGACCACGCATCGCGCTGCCCAGCTGCACCTATCCCACAAGTACCACATCCTATTTGCCCACCAAAGCGCCCGCCTGGGCGTCCGCTCTCAAGCTGGCGGGCTTACGACAGTCTAGGCTCCTGCTCATCAGCTTCATCCTCTTCGTCACCATCTCCCTCATCTTGGCTTCCTCACGCCTGGGGTATCGTCTCCAAGCGGTACTCGGCTCACTGCGCCCATCTGCCTACACATTTGGCTACCAGCAAGCTCGGCCTTTGACCAACGTCACCATGGCTCCCTCCCAGTACCAGAAGCCGCCCCAGGCCCCGCCGCTGTTCACCCACACCCCGGACACCGTCCTCGAAGAGACGAAGAGATTGGTATGCCTAGCGTTGTGCGCGTGCGCTGCTCAGTGCTGACGGCCTTCCAGATTGCCAGGTCCCGCAACGTCCAAGATGAGATCGTGAAGAACATCACCCCGGAGTCGGCCTCGTTCGCCAACGTCATGCTCCCCGTTGCTCACGACGACAACAAGATGGGAATCGAGTCGCACATCCTTGGCTTCTACTCGGCCGTCTCCACCGACAAGGCGCTGCGCGATGCTTCCAACGACGCCGAGTCGCTGATGGACAAGTTCAGCATCGAAATGAGCATGCGCGAGGACTACTTCAACCTCGTTGATGCCGCCCTTAAGAAGAAGGAGTCGCTCGACCCGGAGTCTCAGCGTCTGCTGGAGAAGAACCACAAGAGCTACATCCGCAACGGTCTGGGCATCCCCGCCGGCCCCAAGCGCGACCGCTTCAAGGAGATCAAGGACCGCCTGAGCGAGATCAGCATCGCCTTCCAGAAGAACCTGAACGAGGAGAACGGCGGCCTGTGGTTCACCAAGGAAGAGCTGGCCGGCGTGCCTGAGGATGTTGTCGGTAACTTGGAGAAGGGCACCGGCGAGAACGAGGGCAAGATCCGCCTGACGTTCAAGTACCCCGATCTCTTCCCTACTCTCAAGTACGCAACGAATGCCGACGTGCGCAAGAAGGTTTTCATTGAGAATGAGAACAAGTGCAACGACAACGTCGCTCTTTTCCGCGAGGCCATTGTGCTGCGTGATGAAGCCGCTCGTCTGCTGGGTTACAAGGACCACGCCGAGTTCCGCATCGAAGATAAGATGGCCAAGACTCCTAAGACGGTCAACGACTTCCTTGGCGACTTGCGCGAACGTCTTGCACCCGGTGGTTTGACGGAGATCAAGAAGCTTCAAGAGCTGAAGAAGAGCGATGTCGAGAGCCGTGGCGAGAAGTACGACGACCACTACTACCTGTGGGACCACCGTTTCTACGACCGCCTCATGCTCGAGAAGGATTATCAGCTCGACCAGAACAAGATCGCCGAGTACTTCCCGCTCGGCCCTACGATTCGCGGCATGCTGCAGATCTTCGAGGAGCTTTTCGGCCTGGTCTTCGTCGAAATCACCGGCGAGGACCGCAGCAAGATCTCTGAGACCGGCAAGGGTTCGGACATCGTCTGGCACGAGGAAGTCCAGGTCTTCAGCGTTTGGGATGACGAGGGCGAGGGTGCCGGCTTCGTCGGTTACCTGTACCTGGATCTCTTCCCTCGTGAGGGCAAGTATGGTCACGCTGCCAACTTCAACCTGCAGCCTGGCTACATCCAGGAGGATGGCAAGAGGAGGTATCCCGCCACGGCTCTCGTGTGCAACTTCTCCAAGCCTACGCCCAAGAAGCCTTCGTTGCTGAAACATGAGGAGGTCGTGACCTTGTTCCACGAGCTGGGCCACGGTATCCACGACCTTGTGTCTCGCACGACGTATTCGCAGTTCCACGGCACCAACACCGTCCGCGACTTTGTTGAGGCACCTTCCCAGATGCTCGAGAACTGGTGCTGGACGCCGTCGCAACTCAAGTCGCTTTCCCACCACTACTCGTACCTCTCTGATGAGTACAAGGCGGCGTACGAGGAGTCTTCCAACGGTGCAGCTAAGCCGGAGGAGCGCATTCCGGATTCCCTGATCGAAAGCCTGATCAACACCAAGCACGTGAACGACGCTCTTTTCAACTTGCGCCAGCTCCACTTTGGCATCTTCGATATGACGGTGCACACCCCGAAGTCCCACTCGGACGTTGAGGCGCTGCCGGTCAGCGAGACGTACAACAAGCTGCGCAAGGAGATCTCCAAGATCGACGGTCCGGAGGTCTTGTCTTCATCGGAGAAGTGGACCTGGGGCAACGGACAAGCTACCTTTGGCCACTTGATTGGCGGCTACGACGCCGGCTACTACGGATACTTGAGGTGAGTTATTTTAGAACTTTGGTCCACTTGATCCCCCCCACCTTCCGCGTTCCGCGCATATATCTCTTCACATATACCCTTGACCGTCACTTTCTACGTTTAATTTCACATGCACTGCATGCTTTGGCTTTGAAGCCTTGCGGGGTCTCGATCACAAGAGCTTGGGAAAAGAACATCTCATCAGAGATGGGCGTATTTCTTACGTCAACTCTGTCTGGCCCTGTTTAAATCCGATCGGATCGTGGATCAGGCGCACAGCACGGCACGCGCGTCAACTGGAGAAAAAGAACTCGGGACAACAGGGCCGAAGGGCGAAAGGCAGTGATGACCGTTGAGGAAGTCTTGGCGGAGAAACTCGCGGCACGAATGTCCGGCTGCTCGCACCTGATTGGCCAGGAGCTTGCTCCGGGCTCCCTCCTGTTCCCCCAGTGCCCTTCGCTCGTCGCTCGCTTCGTCGGCCCCTCCGCTTCGGTGGGTCCGCCGAAACTGCCGTGGCATCGAAATCCTCGATTTTCCATACCCGTGGGCGTATGACGGCATGCATACGGCAACCACCATGCCCGCAACCCCGGTCCTTTAGCCGAACAGATGGGCCGATAGAAGTTCGATACTCTGACCTCACTGGTGGGAGAGATCGACTGTCTCGTGCAATCGTCAGTCGTCCCGGGCATCCACCCGTGGTGCTTCCGGTTGCGTGGGAGCCGCCATTGCTGCCCTCGATCTCTGCTACTTCCCAATCCGGATTGCGAAGCATGCCGGACCGAAACCGGGGGCCATCTCGATGATGACTGTGACAATCAATCCTTTGCACATCATGTGCGCCCCGACTTACGTGGTCGTCCGTCATCTCCGCGTCAGTGGCCATCACAACGGGCTCACAACAAATGGGGCTCAACATCAACAGCAGTCATTGGACAGGACTAGCTAATTGGCGAAGTTACCGTCGCTGAAACTAAGAATCCTCCGGTGGCGAGGCTGCGGCGCACATCATCTTGGCGTGCATCGAACGATGGTCGTGCTGCGCGTTTGTTCCCGAGCCACGGTGCTTTTGCTCCTTTCGTCGAATGGGGTTGCCGGCGGAAGTAGCTCCTTACATGGCACACGTGTGCCAGACGACGTACAACCTGCAATCTCGGAAGATCCGTCAGCGATGCGCCATGGCAGGAGTACTTCTGGCACATCGCATAGAAGATT